AGTTGCTATCGACCACCTAACGCGCTATGCTGAGACCGCTGCTCTTAAAACGGCTACAGCACAAAAGGTTGCCACTTTCCTACTGCGTCATTTTGTGTTGCGTCATGGAGGTCCTCAAGAGCTCCTCAGTGACCGCAGCCGCGCCTTCTTGTCCGAGGTGATTGAAAAATTGCTCGCTGAGTGTGCTATTGTACATCGCACATGTACCGCTTACCACCCTCAAACCAATAGGGCTACCGAGCACTTTAATCGTACTCTCGGTGACATGCTATCTATGTATGTGACGCCTGACCACTCTAACTGGGACTTAGTCCTCCCATTCATTACATACGCCTATAATACGGCAACTCAAGCGACAACAGGCTTCTCCCCTTTTTACCTCTTCTACGGCCGTCACCCCTCCCACACCATTGCCACTATTTTGCCCAATCGACCGGACGCGTCCGAGTGCCTACCGATCTTGGACGCCGCCAGACACGCAGAAGAATGCCGCCAGTTAGCTCGTCGCTTTACCTGCGATGACCAAAACAGGCAAAAAGCAATTCATGTTGCCCAGACTTCAACTCCCGTTTTTCTTCCGGGTGCTCTTGTATGGCTGTCAGTGCCGCATCGCACACCTGGGCTCTCTTCCAAACTTCTGACAAAGTACGATGGGCCATATCGTATTCTCGAACAAACTTCGCCAGTAAACTACCTCATTGAGCCTCTTACGCCACCATCCGACCTGCGAAGTCGCAACCGCGAGGTTGTACACGTCCAGAGGCTCAAGCAGTACCACGGTTCAACGCCGCCTGCACAGGACTAAGTCGCCAGAATGGCTCTTTTTTTCTTCGTGGGGCCATTGTAAAGAAGAGGAAGTACTCCGGCGCAGAGGCAGCAGCATCGAGTGTGCAGCAGCGGCTCGAGCTCGGAAATTGCGGCTGGTGCATCGCCTTCCGAGCCTTCCAAGCATCAACCTTTCTCGTTAATAAATCTCCTTTATTATATATATATATATATATATATATATATATAATGATGAGAGAGAGAGACAGCAATAGATCGAGAAAGGGAGAGATTGATATATGAATATATAGATGAAAGCGTTGTTACGCGGTTACAATACTGCTTGTCTATGCGCCACGTTGACTGTTGACCCAAAGGTCAACGTGTCCAATGCCGGCTGCTGCAGTCGCATTTACGCGAGTGGTGAAAATGCTTAAGACCAGTGCACTTCGATTTAGATGCACATTAAAGAATACCAGGCCTTCAAAATCTCCAGCCCCTTCTCTTACGGAGTCCCCCAAAATATTGCATGGTTTAGGGACATTAAACATCAACACTCAATATTGTGTTGCGCGACTAGCCATATGAAAGTAAAAAAAAAACGTGTAGGTGCATATTCTTCACGTTAACATAGAGGATGAAAGAAAACCGCAGAGCAAAAAATACAAAACGGCAATTCTTGCTTTAGTGAAGCAAGGTCAAGCCTAATACCAGTGCCATGTACACAAACTTGACCCTTCTTTCGTGCTTTTGTACAGCCGGCACTCCGGTGGTGCTTTGTAGGGGACGTGAGTGGCGCTTATAATGAAATTATTAAAGTGGCGTTGAATGAAAACGTGTTAAAGGAACATTGTTCTTTAAATACTGTAGTACGGTCCCAGCAGGGAACTTTCAAGGGAAGAAGTGCTCATTGTGTCTTTAATTGCGTTTGTTGTCTTCGCCTTGCAAAACAGCGGTAATGGTGGCATAAAACATCCCTTACTTCTAGTGTTTTCTCCTGTTCGTGTGTTCGGAGACTGCATTAAAGTAGAAAACATTCTGTCAGCTGTACTGAATGCAATAAAACTGTAACGACATGGGTGTACTTTAGTTTATTGCGCCCCAAGGAAAGAGAACGCGTTGGAAAACTTGACTTGCCACGTAAAACCACCGTTTTCAGTCCGCGTTTAAAAGGTCTGAAACTGATGTTTGCCTTTTTTTTCGGTACCAAGAGTCGCAGTGTGACGGGACGCAGCGATTTAGGAAGGTACGTTTTTTTAGGGCTGGTATTAGTATGTGAAACTCTGTAGCAAAATAGCCACACAGGTCGTTGGAAGCACCGGCTGCGGCTTTCCACTGGAGCCGTAATACTAGGGGCCCATGTACAGTGCGATTCAGGTGCACTAATAGAACTCTGGTTGGTAGGCGTTCCCGGAGCTTTGAAGTAAGGCTTGCCCTACGCAATACTGTCATGGTTTCGACTGATAAAACACCAGTGTCTTTTCCTATTCTTCCTTATTAGCGTGTTAGCATTATAGAGCTCGTTTCACAGAAATTCTGGTGTCGACGTAGGTGTCGGCGTCATTGGTTGTGTGCGAAAAATCATCATATTATGCGTCACTGAACAATCGAGAATGATGGGGACAGAAGCAAGGTTTTTTGGGTCCAAGTTGGGTCGAAACCCGGGTCGTTTGCATGGCAAGCGGATGTTCTGCCATATGGTCACGCGTCTGCTTGTGAAAACAGGGAAAATAACTTCCTCTGCTTGGAAGTGTCGTGAAAGTAGTTTCCATGCTTGACACGCGTCCTGTATACATGCGTCAGAATGCAACATCAAGTATTGCAGTAATAGGGTGTGGTGAAAGTGTCCATTGCCACAGGGTGTGAAAATATGTGATTATCTTAATGGCTCCGTGGTTGAAACCTGCTGCCCCACTAGGAAAGGCGTACACGCTACAGCGCCTATTATCTTAAAGCCACGTAGTGGGTTTATAGCAAATTGGAAGTGCTCCATGGACTAAGTGTTTGAAGTACGAACTATACCAACAGGATATCGCTATCAAGTTCAATTGCTAAAAGCGGCCCCACCGCGGTGGTCTAGTGGCTAAGGTGCTCGGCTGCACCGACGGCATTTTCAATGGAAGCAAAAATGCTTTAGGGCTGTGTGCTCAGAATAGGGGGCGCGTTAAGGAACCCAAGGTGGTCAAAATTTATGGAGCCCTCCACTACGGCGTCTCTAACAATCATATGGTTATATAAGGACGTGAAACTCCACACATCATTCAATTAACTTCTAATGGTGAAGCTTTAGCTCACGTTATTTTTAATAATAAAGTAATTTTATTATTATAATAATGTTATTATTATTATTATTATTATACTATTATTGTTCTTGAATAACAATTCCAAGGACGTTATAAAACGTCGAATATTTATGAAAAAGGCAACGTTCAGAAAGATTTATGCAAAGGTTGCGAGGAGTGAAGTTTTAGGTAATAATATCCGCACCTTGTCAGAGGCACTTTTAAGTTGTCACCATGAAGGAAGGAAATCTGAGGGGCTGGAGAATGAAAAGTAGGCCGAGCTCACGTGCTTTTGCAAGGGCTTGTTGGATTCCTTGGTCACACCGTTGTCTCGCGTCCTCTGTACCTCCAACTTTATGACTGCATTGTTGAGACAGCGGGTTGGAGTTCCGAGTGCGTATTTTTATGCAGCTGTTGCACTTCACAGGAGATACAATGTGCTGAAAGCCTACAGTGAACGTGGTCTTGACGGTTATGAGTTTAGTTCATATCGCTTGAGGTTGAAAGTTTTCGAAGCTCGCGACCGCCTATGCGAAAATGATTGGCGCCACAGCTTCACTGTGTTCCTTCTGTAGAGTGTATAGGACAAGGAAATGCAAGGAACGGACGAAGCAGCACCGACGAACACAAAGTGAAGCCTTTTCAAGGTAAATCTGGTGGGGGCGCTGCGGTCGGTAGTCTGCAATGTGTCGTCGTTTTTAGAGTTGCGCGCTGCTCCGCCGAAGTGGTTCAAGGGTAGAATGCCCGCTTCCTACTTAAGAGGCTCGGATTCAAATCGCAGCTGTGGATGGTTGATTTATATTCTTAGTATCACTTGTTTCCGCTATACCGAGTGGACGCTGACTCTTCGGCGAGCCATTCTTTTTCTGTTATTGAGCGACCAGTGTTTGCTTGAGACTTTTCACTGCTGGCTAGAGGGACCAGACACTCTGACGGATCCGTATGCATTGAATTCTGCACATTATTGTGGGGTCGCTCTGCGCTCTCCGGGGCATCTCTATCATTTACGGCAGTAGGCAGCATCTATAAACTACGGCAGTAGGCAGCAAAGAGTGACGGCACGAGCCCTGTGACCGGTAGCTCGTTCTAAGGCACGTGAGTACCAGAGAACCGGCCCAGCATTCGGGAATGTCATAACTGCAATGTAATTTGGGAATGTCATAACTGCAATGTAATTTGGGAATGCCATTTGGGAATATCGCGTTATGAAACCGGTGACGCTAGCACTAAACGCGGCAGCTAAGGCCATCGCACCTTCAGAGACCCCGACCGATGCAGGCGAAAGCGAGGCGAAGAAAGCTCGCGTCGGCGACAATATGATGTTGACATATGACTTAAGCGATGAGGAAATTCACTGTGATGACATGCCATTGACCTACGTGAAATATAAGAAGAAACGACTGGAGGGAATTCCAGTGGTCTTTCAACCACCAGAGAAAGGTGACAACTTCTGGCACGTGAATCCACAACGCGCTGTGTCAGATGAACAGAGATGGGAGTTTTCTGTCAGCGTTTCTTCTGTTTCGTCAGCAAAGCATCACCTATCGATGAGTGAAGTGGCTGGATTAGGAGTCAAGCCTTATACACTCCAGCACCTTATACAAGAAATGTTGGCAAGATACGCCATGTTCCACTTCAATACACCGTGGAGCAACTAGTTGATTTCCTGAAAGATTTTGGTGTGACATCTGCTCGCCGTCAGACACGCTTCAAATGACAAGAAGATGGTGCAATCGAATCTCACCTTCTGAGAGCTGTTATTCTGACCTTCAGAAAAGACAGGCTGATGCATCGTAATTTGCACATGTCACTGCCACTGCGCACGTTGTGTGCGCATACCCTTCAGAGGCTATAAAAAGCCTCGCTCCCAATAAACGTTGTTCACTGTTGTACATTCGTGTCTGTACGCTTCAGTGGCGACGAGGCGGTGGGACCGTTGGTCGCGCTGCGACCATGGCTGCGCACGCGGGCCCACTGGGTTTTGATGAGGAGGCGGACAACTGGGAGGCTTACCGGCTACGATTGGAAGCATACTTCGAGGTTCACGACGTCACGGACGAGAAGAAACGCAGGGCAATTTTGGTCACGGCGTTGAGCACAAAGACAGTGGATTTATTGGCTGCACGATGCGCGCCGGCGAAGATACAGGACCTGAAATACGAAGACGCTGTGAAGTTCCTGGGTGAGCGATTTGCTCCGGCGTGCAACGAAATCACAGAATCGTACAAGTTCTTCACAAGGAATCAGCTTGCAGGAGAGTCGGTAAATGAATTTCTCGTGGAAATACGAAAGATTGCAAGCAGGTGTAATTTCGGTAGCGCCCTCGACAGGATGCTAAGGGACCGCATTGTTTGCGGCCTGCGCGACGCTAGTGTTCGTCGGCAGCTGTTGGCAAAAGCGGAACTCACGCTGAGGGAGGCGGAAGAGGCAGCGCGTGCAGCAGAGATGACAGCGGCAAACATGGACCACATGGCCAGCGCGCAAAACACGGACAATGTGCACGCTATGACGATGAAGCGCAGAGGCCAACCAAGACTGGCGGCACGAAGGGACGTGCCCATGCTGCGGCAAAAGTGGTCATACAGCGGAAAAATGCAAGTTCCGTTCTGTTAAATGCTTCACTTGTAAGAGGCAAGGACACCTAGCCCGTGTGTGCCAGCAGCACCAGTCCCGGCAAAACAAAGTATTCCACTGTGAAAGTCAGTGGTCTGATAATGACGACTACGAACAATTTCTGCTCAACTTGCAAGCGGCATTGGTGAACCTGGTCCAGCCAATTTATTGCACCATGGAATGGGATGGCGTGGCACTCCGAATGCAAGTAGACACCGGTTCCCCCGTGACAATCATCACGTGGCCTACCTACACCAAATACCGTCACCTTTGGCCTCGGCTCCAGAAGACTACCTTGCAACTGACTTGTTTCCTCGGTCAACTTCCCGTCAAGGGTCAACTCAATATCTCGGTGACGTACGGCGGGACCACACTGAACGCTGCCTTGGTGGTGCTGGGGTGCTCTGGACCGGATCTGTGTGGGCGGGACGTCATCAAAGCCCTCGAACAGCACGGAAGGCAGGTTCTCGCCGTCGGAATGAAGGCTGCCCCCGGTAAGCCATCCTCTACTAAGGACGATTTACAAGTGCAGCAGTTGTTAGACGAGTTTCAGGACTTGTTCTCGGAAGAGCTAGGTTTAATCAAAGGGCCACCTGTTGAGTTACGCTTGCGCGAAGGTGTCGTACCTCGTTTATTTAGGGCACGTGCCGTGCCTTACGGGATGAGAGAAGCCGTTAGCCAAGAGATAGATCGTCTCGTTCAGACAGGAATCTTGACACCAGTTGCTTGCGCTGACTGGGCAACGCCTCTTGTTCCGGTAGTAAAGAAAAATGGTTTCATACGACTTTGCGGTGACTTCAAAGTAACAGTCAACGCTGCTTGCCACACGGAAAAATATCCGTTGCCCAAAATTCAAGACATCTTTGCTAGCTTAGGTGGAGGCGAAGTGTTCTCTACAATCAATCTAAAGGACGCTTACAGTCCGCTACCTCTAGATGAGAACGCAAAGCAGCTTCTAGTAGTTAACACGCAAAAAGGACCATTCTGCTTCAACCGGCTCCCTTTCTGTGTAGCGTCCACCCCAGCAATTTCCCAGAGACGCATGGAAGCCATCCTTCAAGGAATACCGGGTGTTCAAGTTTACTTGGATGACGTGGTTGTGGCAGAGAAGCAAGACAACTGCGAAAAATTGCGCGAAGTCTTCCAGAGGTTACGGGACTACGGTGTGAAGCTTCACCCAAGCAAATGCAAAATACGGAAGAAAGAAGTTGAGTATCTTGGGCACCGCATATGTGCAGATGGCCTTTTGCCGAAAGCGGAGAACATTGAAGCAGTATCAGGAATGCCCAGGCCCACATGTGTGGCGGAGCTGCGGTCATTCATCGGCTTTGTGACGTATTACCATGCATTCCTTGGCAACTTGTCCACTGTTTCGCACCGTTGTATGAACTGTTAAAGAGAAACGCCCGTTGGCAGTGGGGAGCAAGACAAGAGGCCGCTTTCGAAACAACGAAACGCCTCGTCAAAGGCGCCAAGTTCCTCACGCACTACGATCCGCAAAAGCCCCTCGTGTTAGAAACGGACGCGTCGTCTCACGGCATCGGGGCTGTTTTATACCACCGGGTCAACGGAGAAGCGAAGCCAGTTGGATTTCGGTCGCGCACTCTGACTGCCGCAGAGCGGAATTACGCACAAATTGAGCGTGAAGCGCTGGCAGTTGTCTTTGGGGTGACCAAATTTCGTGAGTACCTACTGGGTAATACTTTCACGCTAATTACAGATCACAAGCCACTTCTGCGGTGCCTCAACCCCGGGCTCTTGCTTGACTTCTGCTTCACCGGCAGCGAGTCCCGTGCTGTCGGTTTCTCTTCCTCTCAACTGGTCATAATGCCGGCGATGATCTTCGCCGTCTGCGGCCTTGATGGTTACCATGCGGTGGCCTTTAGGGGTCTGTACGACTCCAGCCTTCCACCTGGCTCCTGTCCCGTAGTTCCAGTACCAAACAGTCTCCAACTTGGCGAGTGGTTCCGGGGTGCTCCGTATCTGCGTGAGAAAATGGCCGACATGACACGATGTTATCCAACTTGCATCGAGGCTCAAGATGCTCATCGAGGCTCAAGATGAAGAAGTTGGCGCGCTCCATATTTTGGTATCCTGGGCTGGATCGGGACATTGAACGTGTGGTATACACTTGCCATGTATGTGTGCAGTGTAGCAGCATGCCACCTGCCAAGGAGCCTGTGCCATGGCCGGAAACCAAGGAAAAGTGGTCAAGGGTGCACGTGGACTATGCCGGCCCGGTTGACGGACATATGTTGCTCATCGCGGTTGATTCGCACACGAAGTGGATAGAGGTGAGCCCAGTGAAGATAGCCAGCGCGGGACGGACTATCGAAGCCTTACAATCAATGTTTAGTAGGTTTGGCCTGCCCCGAACCTTGGTTTCCGATAACGGGCCACAGTTCACTAGCGCGCAGTTTCAGTCGTTCATGAATAAAAACGGAATTCGCCACTTTCGCACCGCGCCTTATCATCCGCAGTCCAACGGTTTAGCAGAAAGGGCAGTGCGAACGATTAAACTGGGACTGCGCAAGAACGCTAGAGGCACACTGCAAGGCCGATTAGACCAAATTCTGTTACAGTATCGCCGCACCCCTCTGCCCAGCGGGAAAACGCCAGCGTTCATGCTGCTGGGTTTTGAGCCTCGACGCAAGTTGGATAACATCGTGTCATGTCGGCCATTTTCTCACGCAAATACGGAGCACCCCGGAACCACTCGCCAAGTTGGAGACTCTGTTTGGTACAGGAACTACGGGACAGGAGCCAGGTGGAAGGCTGGCGTCGTACAGACCACCGAAGGCCACCGCATGGTAACTATCAAGGCCGCAGACGGCGAACATCATCGCCGGCATTATGACCAGTTGAGAGGAAGAGAAACCGACAGCACGGGACTCGCTGCCGGTGAAGCAGAAGTCAAGCAAGAGCCCGGGGTTGAGGCACCGCAGACGGAAGCTGTCGAAACCGGTGAGCTACTGACCTCAAGAGAACCCCAGTGCCCAGGTGCGCAAGACACTGACAGCCGACCAAATACGCATGATAACCAGGTTGGAAATGACGCCAGCGGTGCGCAATCTGATGGCAATAAAGAGTTCGGCGAAACCATGTTACGCAGGTCCACCAGAAACCGACGCCGCTGGATCGCTACCAGCCTTAACCCATTAATTCCCAGTATGAGAAACATTTTTCCAAACTTCAAAATATTTCTTGGCCACGTCCTTAGAGTCACTAGGAGTGCAAATTTTCAATAAAAAACATGAAGATATAGTCTGCAAATTAATAATGGGATGTTGCATATGTGCAACAATGGGCAGTAGTGTATAAAATGAAGGCCAAGCCAAGTGAAAGAAACTTTTTATTGCTACCAATAATTTTGGCGAATTTTCAAATTGAAGAAAGCACAATACAAGCATAGCTGTTTGGCGCCTACTGGTGAAAACTAACAAAACAGTTACGGTCATTGTTGAAACACATCACCTTACACTTTGCACACGAAACTTAGGTGTACCCTCCTGGGCATGCCTTGCAGCGGTTCTGTTTTGCATTCCATGTGGGCCAGTGCTCATTGCTGTCTCTTCTGACATCCCGGGGGACATTTAGGCACACTTTCTTGAATGGTGTGACATTCTGAATCGAAGGGCGCCCTGGTGGTCGTTTGTTGAGCAAGATCAGACTCGTTGCAAGCTCAGAGAGGAAATCTCTCAAGGGTGTAGGTGGCAGTTTGTGCTTTTGGAGAATTCTCTTGTGCATGAACCATGCATTAACAGCTGCTATTTTGAGCGTGTGCCAAAACAAATACATATACCAGCGTTTAGACCTGATAGAAAAGCGATAGGAGAAGCACATTTTGTCTAGAAGATCCACGCCGCCCATTGATCTGTTGTAGGAAGAAATGATCGCTGGACAATCGACAAAAATATGCTTTTTCTCCTTGCTGTCCCACCTTTTGACTGATGTAAGCGGGTCAGCACCAATGCAGTTCGAAAAGAAAAGTAACAGTGCGGTTGTCATGCCACTTCACTGCCACCAGTGTCTCTTGGTCACATGAAGTGACTGAAGTATCACAGGTGTCCCGACCTCGCCTTTTCGATTTCTCATCCATCAACTTGCTGCAGCTGAGTCTGTTTTCACGAACCATACCAATATAGGAAATTCTCATTCTTGAAAGCTCCTCTACAAGCTGAGGGCCTGTGAAGAAGTTATCAGCGACAACTAGGTTGTCGTCTCGCTTCGGGTAGGCTGGAACACAGCTGGAGCACGACACCAGCTCCCAACCCAAGCTGGTAGCCACCCTGGCTGCCACAAAAACTTTTGTTGCAGCGCTGGTAGACATCGAAATCATAACACAGACCTGATTCCCCAGAACGTGCCCAAAGTTTTAGACCCCATTTACTCTTTGGTTTATTAGGAATGTAATGACGAATGTAACACCGCCCACAAAAAGGGATCAAGATTTCGTCCACTGCAGATTTTTTTTTCTTGGGGCAAGACAACCATGTTGCTGCGCAAGGAACTGAGCCATGGGCGCACTTTCCAGCATTCGTCTTCTTTTACTTTGTCATTGGCCGCTTCATTATCGAAAAAATGCAGGTGGCTTGCGATCTTTTCAAATCTGTTACGGGACATTACCTGGGCTACTAATTCATATGTACTTCCATTTTCCCAGTAAGCACGAACCCTGTGCATGTTTACAAGTCCCATCCTGAAAAACATGCCCAGAACAGATGTAAGTTCTTTCACGGTGAGGTTTAGAGTGGCTCCATGTTTTTGAAAGTAGTACTTATTGCTTTCATCGACGACAGCCTTTAGCATGGATCGAGAAACAAACATGTCAAAGTATTCCACTGCACTCAGCGGCTCTGCAGGTGGCAGCGGAAAGTTGTTCTCGAAGCTACCTGCCTCGATATCAAAACCCTTCTTCACCCATGTGTACCGCCTTTTCATGTTCTGCAGTATCCGATCTACTGGAGGCGCATCTGTCGAGGTAGCAACCTCTTCCTCAG